TTGTCATTTTTTTCCCATTTGAATAAATGTCACTTTTTGAGGCAAAGGAAAAAAAACAACAAAAATTGTCAAAAAAAAGAACACGAACTAATTGTCCTTAGATTGGGGTTAGAATTAAGTTCCAAATCCATTCATATTATCTATGATATATACATGTCTTTGGTTCACTGTAGAGACACTATTATTGTTTTATGATAGAGCATATTATCAGTCATCCATCTGGGGCATGAGTTAATTCTATTGAATGTGGTTAATTGAGTCAAAAGGTAGAGAATTTAAAACACAGTAAAAAGGAAATTATACAAGTATAAGCTATCTTCAGACTGCAGTACATGAATTGTTGACTTGTACAGATTAAACTCAAGTGACTGCACATTATTTATACAAACAGTGGGAATTGGTGTTAAGGCAAAACTTCACTATCACTTATTCACTCATTAGAACTATGCCTACTAGATTAGTGCATGTCATAAGAAGCAAGGGGGCCATTAAAATAGTAAATATACGAAAGTCCTAGGTCACTTTTCCTTGGGTACCCTTAAAACAAGAGCTCCAATCCAAAGACCTGTTAACAACCTCAAATTCCATACCCTTGGGATAGTAGTTAGCCACTTCTTCTCACACTAGGGTGTTTCAACTTTAACGTCCAAGGGAGTATGTTGGTTCCCTAAATCTGCTATAAGTGAGTTTGAGGTAAATACCAGTTCACTTAGTTTGGCTTTCACATTGAATCCTTCTGGTGTGGCCTATGAAGGATGTTGTGTTCCTCGAAAGTACAGTCTAAAGGCCCAGTAGTCTATTACAGACTACCTGGTTCACCAAGGCTAGATAGAAACTTGGGCAAAGTGCCCATTTAGGAATATACTGCCAGGTGTATTTTCTCCTTGGAGAAATATAAGTACTGTTAAGCATTTTTGTTTTTTACCCCAATGGAAATTACTCCTCCTGGCTTATCCAGCAACAGAAATGGTATATCTAGCAAGAATACTTCTGAGGTGATATTTTGTATTTCTTTTTTTTTTAATTGTTGTATTAGGAGCTCACACAACTCCTATCGCAATCCACATACATCAATTGGGTAAAGCACATCTGTACATCCATTGCCCTCATCATTCTCTGAACATTTGCTCTCCACCTAAGCCCCTGGCATCAGCTCCTCATTTTTC